TTTAAGCAAATTTATTCGTATTCAGCTGAAGCTTCAGCACCTTGTAACATTTCAAAATTTTAATAGAATCTTTTCTATCGCCATGCACAAAAATTTAGCATCTTGTGGGGAATGAAGTTGGGACATGGCCTTGTTTGGCATGACCTGAAATGTCCTCCCTTTGGCTCTATTAACCTGAGATTTTCTCTTTAGAGTTCAGCAAGTTCTAACTGATCTATCTGTTACAAACTCTGCGATTCTTACAAGTCCGCAAGACAATTTTATTGTGCACTTGTGCTTTCTTATATTTAGGTCCCCATTTGTTTACTCACTCTCCATTTAAATGTCTTTCCCATTTACTGCGTCCTGTTTTCAAGATAAGAAGCAAAATGCTTAACAGTTAGATTCTTGGGCCCATCATTGTACTATGTTATATTGTTCAACTACTATATGATATACTACCTCCGAAAAGCTAGTTGACTAATTTGAGTAGATTAAGAAAATTAGTTAAGTTAGTTGTTTGTAATAAATAGGTGTTGTCTTTCTTAAAATACCCTTGCTAATTAAGTGTATTAGCTAGAACTATCATTTGATGAAACATTTAACATGTGCTACTACTACAAGAGTTACCTTAGAAAAAATAGGTAAATATGAGAGATAAAAGGAATTTGGATCTTATATTTAGGACCAAATTGAAAGTCGAACTAGTTTTTATATTAAGGACTGAGGGTAGTTAGACATTTGATTGGTTTATGCTGGGTGGTATCTCAATTTAATTTGTGAACTTAATCTGACAATACTACTTATGCCACTGACTTTTCTTAGCTTTTTGGTTCTGGCTGATCTAGTATATCCTTTCTGCAGTATGATGCTGCTATTCTTCACACGTCTTTTGCAAGGCTTTTGGGTCGACCTAAAGCGTTGCCTACGGTAGTATGCATCTTCAGTCTTCCTTTAAAAATCGTTACTATGTATTTAGCTGATTTTCATATTCTCCAATTGCATTTGCGACTGTCCTGAAAATTTACTTTTGTCTGTCTTCTGTGGCAAGGGGAAAGATTACATCTTTAGAATGCTTATTAGAGGTGAACAGAATACAAAGTCTTACTGAATTACTTTGCTTAAGTGCACATGCAAGTGTGGTTAAATTGCACTGTATGATAGTATAATGTTCTATTGTTTTGTGATATATGCATGGGCAGACTCTAATTGGTAATATATCTGAGGAATGGTAAAGCGTCAACTGGTGTTTAAATAAAGACTAAACCAAATGAAAAAGAAAGAAAATGAAGGGCAGTTTAAGCATTCCTTTGAATTTCGACATTGAAATTTGATATTGTGGTGAATCACCTTTTATGGAGTTCCAATTCTTAATTGTTAGTTAATGATAGTTCTGCATTTTATTTTCCCCGTGTTGTTTAAATTCCAAAATATACCCCTGCTTTCTTGCCTGAGAAATGAAAAGTATGTTTTTTTAATCCCTTTTTTCAGCTCACCACTTAATTGCCTCTCAATTTTTGTTGCGCATAGGAGCTGCATACAACCTCAGAAGAACTCCAATTCTTCCATGAGCTAGTTAATCGACTCAACACAGACCTCCATGGGTTCAAGGTTTGTGGTCATATCATTTCTAGGGCAATAAGTTTTAGAATTGCAAAAAAGTCAGCATCAAAGCGTCTGGTTGGTAGAGTGAAGCTTTCTTCCCAATTCATCAGATCAAGTGCATAGTAGCCTGTCATCTGTCATTTTTAACTATATGCATTTTAGTACTGTTTTTGTTGTTATGCTTTTCTATAGACTCATTTTACGTTTTAGTCATTGGAAAGTGTCACTGATATGAATTTTGTTCCTGAAAAGAAAATATTCTATAATTAAGTCCTCAGTTTCTTTTATTTTGGTTCAGCTTGGGCCTAATTATTTCCCCACAAAAGGACCAAGTTCTCTCCAAAATGAAGAAAACTAAGGATTCAACTGAACTTGATTGGTGTCGATGAAGGAGGGAGATTTGGTCTCCTTCCTTGTTCTTCAATATTTCTTATATTTTTTAATCATTAATTGATAATTTTCATATTTTCTATTGTTTTTTAAAGCATGAACATGTCAGTCATTTTATATCTTCATTATCTGTTTTCCTTCTGGTTTCATTTTCGGTTCTGTTCGCAATTCTGAGTACCAAATGGATTTGGCATGCAAAACTCTAACCGGTGATAATTTTTCATTCACTAGTAAATTGTGAATTTAGTTTCTTTGTTCCCCCTAAATTTTATCTGACCTTCATTTGACATGCTGATGCATTGCCTGCAACCATATGAGCAGGCAACGGTGTCTGAACTCTGGTACGTTGAGGAACATGACTTGCTTGCCCTTGCACTGAATGGAAGAATGAGCGTTCGCAGGTTCAAGCTTGGCTGCTCAAGAACATGAAGTTGAACATAGACATAGATGCTTGTGAATAAAACTTAATATTACTTGATGCAATGAAGGTTCTGGTATATGCGTAATGACGAGTGATTGCCCACAAAAGGAAAGAATGAAAACATACCCACTTTTTTGACGGTTGGGGAAAAAAAACTTTTAGTTGTTGGGTTTATTATTGAGTAAAGTGTTTAACTTTTTGTGACTGGTGACTGGTATAAAGTCGTAATAATTTTTTTTTTCGGGCTTTTGACTTTTAATTTTTCTTTAAATTTGAATTTTTTACAACTGACTTTGAAAATATTATGACGGAGTGCAAAAGCTGGAATATTAAAAATGCAAAGACGAATGTGTTGTATACCATGCCATGATGGATGATCTTGGCTACCATCTCTGAAGATCAACTTGATAGATCCAAGAGAATGTGAAAGATGACGCTTCTGACAAATTTGGGGTCCTGCTTAGATTTCCAAATATCCTACTTCACCGTACGTTGTTGTGAACCAAAGGATCCAGGGGCCATCAATGCCCACTTTTTTTTTTTGTTTTGTTTTTGCCGGGCATCAATGCCCACTTGTTGTTTTGCCTTCTGCCACTATGCGTTCACGATGTTCCATTTTCTTTGGGCTTGAAACAGATTGCCCAATAATTGAAGAGGGGAAATTCCTAAGATAAATCACAAAATAATCAAAATTTTTCTTATCAGAACCAAGGTTTGAATCATCACTGAGAGAGTTACTGACATTTAGTGTTTAAAAGTATGGCGAGTAGAATTACCTTCAGTGAGAGAATACCTTGTCAAAAAAAAAAAATCTCTTATCATGTGAGCCTCAGCCAAGGTCATTTGTTTGATTGCAGCGGCTTGATTTGTGGGAGGCACGCGCTTTGGAAATGTTAAGGACCGTAAAGCAAAGGCGTCGGGGCCCACCTGTGACGGGTACCCTTCTCGTCACGCCCTTCACTGTGGATGCCACACGCTTTTCTCTTTCTTTATTCCGTTTTATACATTTTTGTCCCCAAGCGCCCTCGTCTTTTTCTATTTCCCCTATCCTCCCCTTGGTGCCGACGACCAGCGGTTTGCCTCTGTCTCTGATGGCAGTGGAGGGCTGACATGGACAAATGAATCAGAGCTGACCTCAACGTGTTCCTTTGTGGTTTGCCACGTCATCATCAGAAGGGGATGGGACTAGCTCGTTCCTACTAAATCCTAACCACTGGGCAGCATATTTAAAAAAAAAAAATGCTCACATACTTTTAACGTACCGTGTCACGTGGCGTTTGTTTAATCTGACGTGTTGTCATCCCCTCGGTCTGGTTTCCACCCCATTTACGGCACTCCCAAATTATTTTAATAGTGTGTGTGTGAGTGACGGCTGAAAAGTGCTTCTTCTATTCCTCTTCTTCCTTGATCCGTGTCAAAGGTCAGATCAATTGCTCAAACTCCCACCCTCCTATGAAGATTGAAGAAGTGCGTGGGTCCGCCATTTTCTCGCTTTAGCTTGCTACCCAACAAATTTAGTTTCATGCTTTTTTAATTAAAAATAATAATTAGCTAACGAATTGGAAAAGAGGTCACAACTCGCTAAATTAAGTAATAAGTAAATGCAACGTTGCATGTTTCTATTAGTAAATACACAAGTGACATGGTATATTGAGAATATGCAAGAATTTTTTTCAACTCTCAATCATATTCAAAAATAGGGAACCCAGCGATGGATTTGAAAATTAAGGTGAAGTACATGAGTCGTAAAGATTTTTTTTTTTTTTGTCATTAGTAAAGCGGGTGGAGAGTGGAGACTCTAATATTCTTTAAAAATACTATCTCATTTTCTAATTATAAGAGCTTATTTGTAATTTATAATAAGATCTTATAATTAGGATACAAGATAGTATATGTATATATATTCATATACTCTTTTGATTCTAAATATAAGACCCTTATACACACAAGTAAAAGAGTTTTATATTTAGTATTAGAAAAGTATTTTTAAATAATAAATAGAAAGATATAAAAAGGAGCATGACTAGTGCGGCGGGGAGAGAGAGGAGTGATGAGGTGGGCGGGTGAGGATAGAGTGGGCGCCAGACAAGGGAAAAGAGAGAACAGGCGAAGATCACGTGGAAGACTCTTGAGAGTGCTTCGTCCCACCAAAATGGCATGGGCTCGCCACGCGCGTTCCTGTGACGGGTCCTTTCCCGCCACGCTCTCTCTCCTCCTCGCCGCCTCCTTCCTCGTCCACCCTTTACAAAAGTACAGAATATCCCTCCCTCTAACTCTCTCCCTCTCGCCCTAATTCCCAACCAACACCATACTGTTCTATCCCCTGCCTTACCTTGAATTTTATCCTCACTCTAATTCCGTGTTTTTCTTTTTCACCTCCCCTTCTCAACCCCGTCTGTTCGGCTTTAAGGAGGTAAGAGCTCATCTCTTCTTACGTGTTCTTCTGGTTGCTTTCAAAGTGGTTTATTGTCTTTTTGAGTTTGATCCATTGAATTTCTGTGTGCCCCCTTTCGTTTCTTGCCGGTAGACTTCTATTGAGTAAGTGGTCTTTGGGAATGAAATCTGGGGAATTCGTTTGATTCTCTCCTGCGTGAATTAATTAGAGGAGAAATGAGGAATTCGATTTGCTGTTGCTGGCATCTTGGCGGTAGAAAATACGGTGGTTTTCTTTTTATTTTTCTTTACATGATTCAATTTCCTTTACCTTTCTTCGGCATCTCACAGCGTTAGGATCTCAATGAGTTGAGTGTTACAGACTTGCAGCTAACAATACTGCCAGACTAGTTACAAATTCGTTATGCATTAATTGGATTTGTTAGTTTACCAATTATAGTCGATCATGTGATTTATATCGATGGACAGGGGGACCGTGAGGAGGCGTCAGAGTGGAGGCAGATAGAGTGCTCTGCCTCTGCCTCCAGACTAATCTTAATAACTGATAGTTAGGTTTCCTTGTTGCAGAGCCTCCTGAACTACTGGGGTTTTGCCTATTATATGTTCAATGCCACTGACAATCTCACACCATATTGATGTGGATTTGTATTTTGTGTCTACTTTTAGGAATTTGTGTTGTACTGGAAGAATTGTGTGAAGGCATCTCTGGTTTTTGTTACTTCTTTATGGGATCAGAAGCTCCCGCTATGGCAGCCGAGGAAGTCAATATGTTAGAAGGAACATCAAAAACCAGGTCTGTCATTCTAATGCCTGGACATTTGGTTTTTACTGTCAGTTGATATGCCTTCCAAGTCCATAGTAGCCTAAAATAATCTATACATTGACGTTCCCAAAAAAAAAGAAGAAGAAGAAATCTATACATTGAAAATTATAATGTAAAGAGATTTTGTTGGCTACTTTCTTTCTAGCGCATCATTCGATCCATTTGTTTCCAAAGCATACTTGTTTACCCATTGTACTAAATTAGTCTGCTCTAAATATGTTTTTCAAGCCAGGAATTCTTTGAATTGGTTTCAAAGCTTTTGATGTAATGGCTTAATTGTGTTACAGACTAATACAAGAATAAGCTTAACTAGTTTTGAGTTTTTGATTGTCTTAGGTATTTTTGTTAGTTGTAGTTTATGGTCCACAAGTATATATTTAAGTTTAAATTACTTGAAAGTAGTTGTAATTGTGGCACTACATGTCGTAGTGGCTCAACACCATCAACTTAGATTGAGCATTTGGTGCAAGTTCTGTATTGATCTTCTGAAATCCTTGTGTGCTGCAGTTCTTGTCCTGGTAAAAAGAACCAAGGGAAAATTCCCAAAAGAATTCACAAGGCTGAAAGGGAGAAAATGAAGCGTGAGCATCTGAATGATCTCTTTGTCGATCTTGCCAATGCTCTTGGTAATTACTTGAGCCACAATCTCATTTTTGAGCTTTGCTTAAATGACGCTGCCTGACCCCTCTCTTGAGAGATATCCAAATTACATTTTGAAAATCTATACTCCCTTTTCTTGAAATAACACCCCCACACACCCTAAATAATATCATTCTTGAAGGTGCTCTTGGGGTATTTTAGCTTTAGGGGATTTGTGAATGTATTCATACTGGGAGAGGGGGCTGTGTAATTTAAGTATGAACTGTCCTTCTATTTCCTATACTTGTGGTTTTACTTTATAGCTTAATTTACTTCATCATGTTACTAGATATGATATTAGTTTTGCCATTTTCCCCCCTGCTAACTACCTTATTTTTTGGGATGGGTTGGGTTGAACAGAACTAGGTCAGCAAAACAATGGAAAGGCGTCCATATTGTGTGAAGCCACTAAGCTGCTAAGGGACCTGCTCGGTCAGATTGAGGCCCTTGAGAAGGAGAATGTGTCTCTGCTGTCTGAATCACATTACGTAAGCACTTAACGCACTTGTTACTCCTTTCCTTTGAATTTATGCAATTGAGAATCTAATCTTTCCGCTAGCTTCTGCTTGTCAACTTTGCAGCATACTTTGAAAACTGATAATTAGATTTTCGATGTCAAAAGTCATCTGCATTTTAGTAACAAGTTTTTCATGCATTTGCTTTCATTGAGCAGGTTACCATGGAGAAGAATGAGCTGCAGGAGGAAAATTCTGATCTAGAAACACAAATAGAGAAACTTCAAGGCGAGATAGAAGCACGAGTAGCACAATCTAAACCTGACCTAAATGCACCTCCTCCAACAGAAGAACTTGAGCCACCAGAGCAAACAATTTTTCCTAGAGAGTGTCTCCAATTGCCTACCGTTGATCCTACATTGCAACAAGGACCCGCGGTAGTAGTTGTCCCCTTTCGTCCCCAGCTTCAACCTTCTTTTCCCACCCCAAACATCACTGAGCTCACTTCAAACTCCATTGTTAGTAAACCTCATGCCAGGTATCCAACCCCTGCAGACTCATGGCCATCGCAGTTGCTTGGAGAGCAGCCAACATCAAGCTAAGAGAAGTTGAACGTGCAGAGTTTTATTTTCACTGGTTATTGGCTGCACCTGTAGAGTTAGTTCATTCCAAATCAGCAACCACACTTGGAGCCTTCGTACATAGACTGTTAATTAGATGTGTCTCTAGATCTGTGTCACTCACTCATTTGTTTAATGATGGAATTAACTCTCGACTCGAGCTTTTGGTCCTGTCCCTAGTGGCTGCTTGAGGCGGAATGATTTCTTGAAAAAGGAGGCATAAGTAAAGAACCCTGTTACGGGCAATTTGAATCTTCTAAAGTTGTAAAGGTAATTACATATGATTTAAAAAAAAAAAGCTTTAATCAAATGGTGGGGTTAAATTATAGTTGTGTGAATCTGATAGAGCCTTTGTAACGGAGACACGTCCCAACTCCCACCAAGTCCGTCATAGTAAAGGCTACGTCCTATCTTTATCTTTACTCCCTAGCAAATATATATTTAAATATAAGATACATTTTCTAATGGAAACAGTACGACAAAATAAATTTTATATTTAGAATTTTTATATTCCACATCAATTAGGACATACCCCGAAACTGAGAACAACGGTTTAATGGGCATGGGGTCGGAATAAAACTACAGTGCTTTGTGTTGGGTGATGATATAATTTCAAAAACTATTATACTACCTCCACTTTTTAATATAAGACTTCTTTTAATTTTTATTTTGATCTTAAATATAAGACCCTAATCAGTTTTATCTCTCATGTTTATGTATTTTTTTCAAGATAGTCTTTTTAATAATTGTAGTTCTAACCAATATAGTTGATTAGTAGGAATATTTTAGGAAAGACAACACTTATTTATTACAAATAACTAACTTAACTTCTTTTCTTAATCTACTCAAATTAGTCAATTGGTTATAATTAGGACCGGAGATAGTATTATATTGTAAGGAATAGAAGTGATAGATCATGGAAAATACGTACACGCACATATGTATAAGCGATGACTTTAAGAAGTATAAATAGTGCTTTATTTCTAAATTTATTGAAATAAATTTTAATTTTAATTTGAAGAAAAATCAAAGTAAAACTGTAAAAGACAACCGACACCGGCAGCTGGCAAATTCCGGAAAGGAACTAGGTTCAAAAATAAGGTTGGTGTAAAAGATTCTGTGCTTGAGGCCCAAAGTGGTCCTGCGCTGGGATCAAGGAATCAACGCTTAAGACTCAAAAGCAAATAATCTGAACCCGAACTCCAGTAATGCACAGTATGATTGGAAATTGGAGCCTACACTCGGATGCACAGTCACTCTAACCCCAACACCCACAGGCCACGCTGGTTTTCTCCCAGGTAAGGTACACAGAGCACCTTTCTCTCTCCCTCTCTCTGTTCTCTTCGGTCTAATCGAAACCCACAGGCTACAGATCCCCCTTGAGAAATCACGGTGTAGAAATGGGGTCTGGAGCCAGAAATTTCCTCAGGGTGCTTCTCAGCAACTTCGATGTTCTTGCTGGGTAATGTCTTTTTTCTTTCTACGAGTTAGTGGCTTTACAAGTTAAGCTGATTTTGCCTGTAGCCATTTGGATTTTCTTTTTGTTTTTATTCAATGCCATTGTTATTTCATACTGACTAACAACATATCTTTCGGATTTATTGTCCAGCCCCTTGATCAGTCTCGTCTATCCTCTGTAAGTGCAATGTTTATTTTATTATTATTTTTTTTTCAGAAGACGTTATTTTAACTAGCCTGCGGCACTTGGAAACTGAATTTAATATTATGTCTTGTGGGATTCTTTTGTTCAATCACAGATATGCCTCAATTAAGGCAATTGAGAGCAAGTCTCCTGTGGATGACCAGCAATGGCTCACTTACTGGATTCTCTATTCCATGATCACCCTATTTGAGCTTACTTTTTATAAAGTTCTTGAATGGTAATCAAGTATCTTACCCAGTGCTATGAATCATTTTTTTGATCTTTTGTATGTTCTGCTTGTTAAACTGGAGATACTCTTGATTTTATCCCCAGCATAATCTTTTGAGGGTTGCCGGCAACGTAGTTAATCTTTGAACCATTTTCCATTGTCTATTAGAAATATTTTTCCAGTCATGGGTGAAGTGCAGTAGTCACATGCTGTTTTCTGTTAAATCTTTTTGGTTTAGCGCCTAAAACTTGCACATATGTTGTATCCATTTGGATGCGTACATCCTATTGATGTATTTTATGGAAACTAATGAACCCAATACAAATTTTATTTTAGTTGTCTAACGATTGGCTTGCAAACATGGCATCCTTTCTTTTCCACTGTGATTTTAGTTTTCAATAGTGCTGTCATAAGTATACAAACATGAAGGTTTGAGAATAAAAGATTGGAAAGATGGAGGTATTACCATCATGGAAGGCTTAATGGATCTGCATCAATGCGAAAATATTAGAGGGTAATCCTACCAAGAGGGATCTTTTTTATCATCAGGTTTATCCTAAGATTCTCTCTCTAATTTCCTAAATTATAATGGGAGAATCGATAAATACATCTAGTAATGAGAAAGCTCATCCTTTTCAGAGGTAAATCTTTCCATATAATTACCCAAGTATATAACTTTGATCGCTTTGGATGATTACTGGCATAAGATATTTAGAGGAAATGATACTAGACAACAACAAAAATTCTCAACCTTTTATTGCAGGATACCTATCTGGTCATACGCAAAGCTGATATTAACCTGCTGGTTGGTCCTCCCCTACTTTAATGGTGCTGCCTATGTTTACGAGCATTATGTGAGACCCTTGTTTGTCAATCCTCAGACTATAGTAAATGTCTGGTACGTCCCAAGAAAAAAGGACTTCTTCAGTAAGCCAGATGACATTCTAACTGCTGCAGAGAGGTACATTCAACAGCATGGAACAGAAGCATTTGAAAATATGATCAACAGGGTATGTCCAATTTGTGATGCTTTAATATTGCAGATATATGTACTTTGTTATTAATTCTTCATGACATTAATGCCCGGCCATGCCCCTGTTATGTAGGCTGATAAATCAAGGAGGAGGAATGATGGCTATACAGCGTATTATGATCACAGTTATGGATACTGAGTATTGTTTCTTCAATCATGTAAAATGCAGTATTGTAGCATATCTTGGATGATAGGATGGGTTTCATGGACATGTTCGCCCGGTTCTTTTACTTTGTTTTCTTCTTGTCGTTGGGGATAGTTGATTTTTCCCCGTGTCCTCGCTTGTCTTGTATGGTATTCGATAGTATGTAATTATCCCAGGCTTGGTCATACGTTTGAACTCCCATGGTCGTGACACCAAGGTACATAGATAATGGAGGTACAAAAGCAGCTGTGTTGATATTATTCATAGTTGGCTCGCGTCCCCCTCCCCCCTCTTTCCCCATTTTAGCGATTCAAGCATATTGATTCACGAAAAGCACAATTCAGGACCTCAAGCTGAAGCTAAGCCTGGATGAAAGGGTTCTTTCTGCTCAAGAGGTGCTCGTTTGAGGGATCCAATCTTGCAATGTGAAATAGTTAAAGGAGGCTTGTAAACTTACTGGTGTCCAGCGGTTGGCGACAATGATTTCATGTATGGAATTTTACCGAAGAAGATGATGAAATTTTTGTGGATCTGGCGAATATCGTTGATTTTGAGTTGTTATGCTTTAATTCATGAGATCAGCATTGATTCTTGAGTTTGTTAACAAATTTCTTAAATGGTTTTGTTTGCTTCTGTATACCATGATTTTGTGCTTCCAGATGCTTTTGTTGGAAATCCATGCATTGATTCCGTGCTTTCCAGAATGGATTTCTGGTCAATTGTGTGGATTGGTCTCGGGAACGTCTAAATTTTTTGATTTCTGGATACAGTCGACGTGTCTTTGATTGCTTACTCTTCTTATCTCTGAAGCCTTTTTCGTGCTTCCACGTAGCTCTGCCTTTGTTTCATGGGAGAATTACAATACAACAATAACAAAGCCTTACTTTACTAGATGGGGCCGGCTATATGAATCGCATGTTATTGAGTTCTATCCAAAATTAAATTTTTGGATTACACTGGTTTTAAAAAATAATTATAGAACAAGTTTCAGAAGTTGTTATTTTTTATTTTGAAACTTTTCATTACAAATTATTTAAATTGTTATTAGAATTTTTTAGTAATTATTTTTTTTTAGGAGTTCATTGTAATTTTTCCTTGTTTCATTTGACGAAGAACAGCTGTGTTGAACTCGTGGTTCTTAGCTGGCTGCACTCATGCTCCCATCCCTTGCTGCTTTTAAAAAGGTCAAACATCAGGACTAGTCACAGTGAATGAGGGTCATTAAATTAGCTTCTTTTTTTTTTTTTAATGTAAATTTGTTTTGAAAATTTTTACTAAGAAATTATATTATTTTGAAAGGTTTTTGGAAATCAAATGGGAGGTCTAATCACAGTTGACGAAAGGTTATTAAATTAGCTGTTTTTAATTATGATATAAATTTGTTCTAAAAATTTTCAATAAAAAATAATATTGATTTCAATGTTACTCTAGAAGTGTTAATATAAATCCTGTTTAGTACGAAACGTTGAAAATGAGAGGTAAAATTTAAGATTGAGATTGAGAAATATGATATTCTCCAATCTCACCTCCATGGGTTTGTCTAATCTCATGTAACGAGCAATTACTCGTGTTAAATAATTTTTTAATAATTTTTCTCAATTACAATATCAATTCTTAGTTCTTATTTTAAATGCTTCATATCATAGGTTATCATAGAGTAATGTTGCCTCTTATCCTTAAAAGCATCAACAAGATAGGGTAATACTATTACGTTTTGAAATTTTTGGAATGATATTAAACTCAAAAAATTTGGCAATATTGCTCTTGAGCGATAATATATGGGTTTGCGTCTTAACCCCCCTTTTTTTCTGGGGGCGGGGGGAACGGAATTTATTTGGGCAGAAGTAATAAATCATATAGCATATAATAAGTAATTTTTTTTGTTGGGAAATTTGGTTAAAAATGCTTGTTTAAAATTTTAATTAGCTAAAAACATTTAAATTTAAGCGAATACATCTATGATTCATGGGTATAACTTTTCTTCTATTGTGTGTAATATATTTTTTGCTGTATGCAAATAACTTTCATATTGATGATTGTTGCACATCATTGATACTGATACTATATTTCATACAACAGAAGAAGAAAAAAACTTCTACTTACAAATCATAGTTACACTCACTTAAATTTAGATCATTTTAAACAATAAAGTTTTTGAAGACGAACTTTTAACTAAATTTCCCTCAGAATCTTAGGATATTCACCGATCAAACCCACTACGTCCCTTTATATAAAAACATTTTATGTCAGAGAGCTACAACATACCAGGCATAATAAGCAACTGATGTTTTGTATTGAGCGAAAGGTCGAAGGGCTGTTGCCACTTGCCAGGTTGATTTGATGAATTCAAAAGGAACGGATAATAGAGAGGAATTCCTTAATACGTAGAAAATAGGTTATATTTATAAAATTTTTATTGTATCTTTCTTATTACTATCAATTTATTTTTTTATTTTTATTTGATAATATGAAGTCTTTTCATTTATGAATTAATATTTGATTGAAAAAGGCGGGGGAATCTTCCCTCTCATCCGTGACTATTGTTATTAATTTACTGCCATTATTTTTTTGTAAGACCAAGAATTTTTTTTTTTGGGGCCAGATTGTAAGATCAAGAATATTCTTTACTAATTAGATATTGACTGTTTTTGAGTAGTGAACAAAAAAACCTTCTTACCATTTATATCAACCATACACTAATGTCAATTCTAATACTCAGTCACTTCTCTTCAATATTTTTACTGTCCTTGTTCCAAAACTCCAATGGTAAAGAAGGGCACGAATCAGAGGTACATGCTATTATGTGTAAATGTCAATTGATTCTATTGTGGCAAACAGTAAAACTCCATCCCCCACATAATTCCCAGCTAAAACGAACGGAATATTCCAGTCTTCGCAGATCTACTAATATGCTAACGTTGATCTCATAAATTAAAAAAACTGACAAAGTACAATACAGTAACCATGTTATTCGAGACATAAAAAACCACTCAGAACACTGGGATTACAGAGGACCTACAAAAGGATACTCCCAAGTCCCAACTATGGCTATAAGCCTATAACCACTTCCACTTCTCAAACTGCAGTTGTCAGAAAGTTCTTACAATCTTATTCAGTAGAAGAAAAGGATGGTGATAACAACTTAGCTGGAACGAATAGTTATTGCTTGCTTTGTCATTGTCCATCCAGCTCCTTCAAGGGTAACAAATGCACCCTTCCATAACCACGAGAAGGATCAGCGGCATCATGTCACTGAAAACACCAGTAGGCATGTTAAACAGCATCAGGATAAGCTATTTCTACAAGATGATCAAGTTTCCGGGTCGGCTTCAGCTTCTGCTTGTTCTTCAGCATCATTAATATTCAAGCTTTGGTTAAGATAATCCTGCGCTTCTTCTAATGCTGATTCCTTTTCATCAGCAGCATACAAAATCTTCTTTATTGCGACAGACATCTGCAAATGGAACATATGAACAATAGCTTACACTTATAACTCGTCTAAGAATCTGGTTTATTTTGCTATATAGAGGTAAAAAGCACTTAACGCGTTGATAATGAGCTTGAGATTATTTGGATCAACACCATGCGCTTGGGAATTAAAAGTTTGTAAAATTTATACATGCAACGCGGTCCAAATTTACAAAATCTAATACCATGGCAGACATGCATTTTGATTTTTGAGGGAGGCAGAAAAACCAACGTGCAACAAGCAGAAAAGAAAAGTTATTTGAGAGTTTCAGACTCTACAAGGTGTCTTAGACAAGAATTAATAGTTGGAGAACTTAAGGGCTAAGGCTGACCACAATTCATCCAATCTGCCATATAAGAACCATGTGGGAAAAAACTACTTAAAGGTACAGATGATAGAAAAGCATTAGCTAGAAGCCTAGAACATGGGAATGACATATGACAGGGGCTAAAAGAAAATAACAGATAAATCTTATCACTGAAAATGCAAGGGGAAAAAAGATAGAAGCAATGCAAGCAAGCCTTCATGAGAACTCTTACAGGGAGATTCTCTAGTTCTGGAGTCTGGCAAAGAATTTCTATATCCCTCAATTTTGCAAAGTAGAAGTCCCTTTCTTTTTCCAGGAGATCCACAGAAAGTTTGAGATCAGTAACCTGTGAAACAGAAGAATAGAGAACTAAACAATGAATAAAGTAAGAAGGTAGACGGGTTTTTTCAATTAAATTTTAAGCAACAAACTATCAAAGGAAGTGCTAATATAGAACATATAAATTTTGGTTGAGTGAGGTTGTGGAAGCAAGCAGCAATACGCAGAAGGAGAATCAACTACTATGCAGCCATTTCCTAAGCATGGAATGACAAATATAGAGGCCCTAATATTCGTACCTCCTTTGACAAAGCCTGAATCTCTGCTGAAGAAGCTGCTTCACTTGACTGAAACTGTTTGGACCCTGTACTCAAAGAATGAGCCAAATAGAAGTGACCAGAAAATGAGAGAATTAAAAAAAACTAGTAACATGGTAAAGCTAATAGGAAAATTGCAGTCAGACTTGGGAGATGCTAATAAGCCAACCAGAAGTTCTATTAGAATTGAATGCATTGCTTGAAGCAGGATTATTCATGATGTTTGTCTGCAGTGATTTTGTGTTCCTCACAGAGCTCCTAGTCCGGTCTTTTCCACCTTTGTTCCTCCGCTCCACAGGATTATAGTTCCTGCAAGAATGGACAAGATTTGACACAAACAGACAGTAAAATATGAGTAGCTTAAGTGCATGTCGCAGCATCATTTGTCTAAATATACAAAGGTGTATTAAATGATGAACAGGATGCTAGAGCAAGTAGCACACTCATTCACAATGCCACCATTCACAGAATCACAGTGGCGTTTCAGCCATTGCAAGAACTCCAAGTTGTCCAAAGGTCGTCCTTTAACAAGCCTGTTAACTTCAATATGCTGTGAGAAGGTAGTAATGTTAGAACAATAAAAGGAAGCACAAGTTATAATTCTGCCATAGTACTTTCATAGCAGTCTTTGATGTATGCAATTTTGTCTTTAAGATATTGCCATAAATCATGAGGATTATTCACGTGATGGCATAGAACCCACGCAACCAACAACATAAATAAGAGCACATTTCAGGATAAAAACATAAATAAGAAAAAAACAGGTATCAATAAATAAGCAAGAAAAACAAAAAGGAGAGATCTGAATCTGGAATGGAATTATGCCATTCAGCGTACCCAGATAAAAGCATAATCGAGCATCAATACTAACAGCCAATATGAAAAAAA